GGGTGCCCAAGAAGTTGGACAGAGACACAGATGGAACAGCTGACTCCAACTGACCAAAGGCATATCCCACACCATATAGTGTCACACTTCCCATATAAATCTAGGGGAAGAAGGAACCTGATTATAAAATTGGACAGATCACATAACTGAAATATATGCAAATACAAAACTTGTGATGATGTTCAAACAACAGAGGTATATGAGAAAGAGGTAGTGGGAGTCCCATGTACTTCAAAACTGGTTATTTGGATATAGCCTTCTTTGGTCACTGAGGGTCTTATTATTTGCATTAATCTCTAGCTTAAAGAGCATTGTGTATAAACAATTATATTAGTATGACAGAAACTCTATGCTATTCCTAACTGTTATGCAAATTTTAATTTCTGGTGTGTATTTTTGAGTTAGCATCCAGAAAACACCATTTTATTTTTGAAACCTGACACAAAGCCAACAGAAGAAGAACAAACAGAAGCACAGAACCTGCCAAACTTTATTTGTAGCCAGCTTCTTGTTCCTTATGTATCTGAATAAGCTTCTTCCTCCTTTTTAATTCCATTTCACTTCTCTATCCCTTCTAAAGAAGACTCAAACTGTTCTGGGATATGCTTTCTTTTCAAAAAGTCAAAAGTCAGAGGGAAATAAATGTTTCCTCATTATATCTGGAAAAGCTAATATAAATTTTGGGTTAGGCCATTATAGCTTTCCATGAAGCTTCAGTTGGGATTTGCTTTTCACTTCACCTGAAAAGAAGCGTGGTTTACAAAACAGACTTCTTTCACATTTGGAGGGAAAAAAGAAATGAACGTCTTCAAACAGCAACAGCTACCAGATAAGAGAATTGTAGAATAATGAGGTTGGAAGTGACCACTGGCTACCTCCAGTCCAACCTAACTTCTTCCCAAAGTGATATCAATATGAGATCACACCATGTTGCTCATGACTTTATCACGTTAGGCACTGGAAATCTCCAAGGATGGAGATGGTAAAAACTTCTCTGGCAACCTGTTCCAATGATGGACAGCCCCTATGGAAAAAGTTTTCCCGTGTAACCTGTCTGAAATGCTCTTGTTTCAATTTGAGTCAGTTGTTTCTCACCCTGTTGTCATGGAGCACTGTGAAGAGGTCGCCTTTCTTGACAAGCTCTGCACAGACTCTGTTAGGCTGCCATTAGGTCTCCCTGGAGCCAACAAAGGAAGGAATATTTTTTTCTTTCCCAGGCTGTACAAGAGCAGTACCCTTGGTCTCTCTTTACATTGCAAATGCTATGGCTTCCTGACTGTACCAGTTGCCCTCTGTCAAACTTTCTCCAATTTATAGATGTCTTACTTTTACTGGGAACCTTAAACTGGATGCAATATTCTAGATAGCAATAATCTTTCCTCTGGAGAAAACAGAAGGGGATTTTATTTTTTCCCCTGAAGGTCTCCACTTGTTTCCCTCCTTTAGGCATGTCTGTGTGTACTTACTTCACACATACAGATATTCTGGACCTAAGTATCTCTCCCCTGATTTTGTATGATCAAATGATACTTTGCTTTTCCTGGATTATGCTAATGTTAGTGAAAGTCAGATTGGTATAAAAATGCACATTTTAATGGCATTGTTTACACATGTATACATACAAAATAGTTAATATACACACACAGTCATTACTTTTGTGACCAAATCCTTGAAATGTTATTGTGTGTTAAGGCACAAGTACAAGTAATGTGGGTATCACTTGTATGCTTTAATAGGAACCTCTAGGTTTTTTTGTTTGCTTTGTTGTTGTTGTTTTTTTGTTGTTGTTGTTTTGTTCTGTTTGTTTATTTGTTTTTGTTTTCTTAAAATTGCTTCTTCTAAGTTAAAGAATGATGTAGTGTCCTGGTTCTGGACAGGGTAAATTTCTGCAGTAGCCAGGAGGGAGCATGGCTGTGACCCAGAGGATATTCTCTACCACCTTATGACATCTTCCAGTTGGAGGGAGAAGCGAGTCTTTTCTGGGGAGAAAGGGCTCCTTCCCATTGGCATAGCGTGGCTGTGGTTGGGTTGGGGTGAGAATTGTGCATGTGAATCACTCTCTCTTTTGTATGCTTTTGTTATTAATATTGTTGCTGTTACTGTTTGTTTTCTTGTCTCATTGCTGTTTCCAGTAAATTATTCTTATCTCAACTCCTGAGCTTCACCTTATGTGCCTCCAATTCTCTTTTCCATCCTGTTGCAGGGCAAGAAGCAGGAGGGAGAAGGGGGGAATGGGCAAGTGGCATGTAGTGTGGAGAATCTCAGCAAGACCACTAAACTGGGGAGTACCATTCCTAAACCAAATCAAAAAATCTCACTTAAAAAAAGGAGAAAAATAATAAAGTTGGAGAAATGCTTTTTGTAAGGCCAGGGAAGACCAAAGAGCAAAAGGAGAAATAACCAAATGAGCCAAAATTCTCAAGCCCTTATGTTGGGGCTTAAGACAGAAAGTATAAGAATCTGGCGAAGACATGAAAGAGCAGTAGGTGAAGGGAATGTGCACCTGGCATTGTCACATTGCAGTTTTACAGGTCTCTTGACAATTGGAGCATGTGTGGAAGCCTGTATTTTGCTCACTGGGGAATTACAAAATCCAAAAAGAGAAGTAACTCCTGGGAATGCAGTCTTGAACAGCAAATCATACAGCTAACTCACTTGGATCAAAGCAGCAAACTTCCACCCCAGTTCAGAACAGACTGTCTAAAAACACTCCCAGTGCTTATTCTAGACTACCGTAGCATGGCAAGCACTATGAGGAAATAAGAAGACCCAGCAGACATCTATACATCCATCCCTTCCACATACAAATCAGAGTGCAAATTTTCATTCATTTGGGATGGCTTGGGAAATGCACTGTCTACCTTGTCATTCATAATTACTGTGGCCATCCCACCCTTGGCCTGGTACAGTTCCCAAAGCTTTATGTACATGTGACATATATTCTTTTCTGTCTCCTTGGCATGTGTTGCAGATGTCCATGTAACTTAAAGGAAACTGTAATCAAAATGTCAAGAAGTTCATAAGAATCCTCATAATGGTGCAATTAATTTCTAATCAAGTCAAAAGACAGGCCTGAGAAATTAAAAGTTGCTGCTTATGCACTTATAGGAATCCTTGTTGCTTTTTACAACCCTTGCAAGTTCAGCTCCAGGTGGCCTCTGGCTTTTCAAGTAATGTCTTTGTATGCTTAAGACAGTGTTTCCATACAGAGAGGTTCTGATTCATAACCTGAATGTCTTAAGTTTGGAATACTTAAGACATTCAAAACCCCTCTGGACCTGGGCAATCAGGTCTCAGTGGCCCTGCTTGAGCAGAGCTGGACAAGACAGCCTCCAGAGGTCCCTGCCAACCTCAATCAGTCACTCTGTGTGTCCACTTCGGAACACATTAGCCTCTAGAACAGTGAGGTAGGTAGGAGATTAAATCTTCTGCTTTAGATGTTATAACTTGTATAAATCAGTAGAACAATACAATAGTTCTTGCCCCAGGGGATAATCAAGTGAGCATTCCAACACCTTATGGATAGATTTTGCAAATGCTGTCAACCAACTTACAGTGAAATTTTGACTGTTCAAATTAACATGGTACATTCTAATGCTGATTCCCACAAGTCATTATTGTTAATATTTCTGGGATTTAAAGCATTTACAAAGTAAATGGCTGTTGCTGCCTACTATACTTGTTAAACATTGTATGTTGTTAGTGCAAATTCGATAGGCTATGCCAAAAATGTAAGTCAAAAATCAGTGAAAAGTCTCCTACAATGTGTACAGATCAACACAAACAAATTTTTAATTTCTAAAATATCAATAAAAAATGCATTTCAGTTTTTAAATTATTAAAAAAAACCCCATTTAAATGAGTAATAAGGGCACCATAATAAATTCTTTCTAGCTTGGTAAATCATACCATAATTTGTGCACACACTAAATGCTGACCAAATTCATTAAATGCAATAATCACAAATTGCTTGGGGTTTCTATTCACTATTAACAGGCTTTAAATAAATGCCTATGAGATTTAGGGACAAAAGTTGTTTTTGAAACTTCCCTCCAAGGTTTTAATAAACTTAATGAGAAGGGAAAACTTGAAAAACCTCTAGAAACCTGAGTATTTTTCACTTTTGAATGCTGAAACACAGAAAACATACACAGTTCTGCTACTGCAAATGCTTTCTAGACATAAATAACTAGCCCTCTTTATTTCCAATGAGTATAGTATTCACACTATATTTATTATTTACCTCTGTAGCCCACATCCCTCATCACAGACATTCAGCCTTCAGATTCACAATTTTCAGCTGTGTTGATGCCAATTCTCCTGCCTTTAACCTGCTGGCAGCTCTGTATCCCCTCTCACACAGCAGGTCAGGATGAAATGAGAGCTGTAACCCAACATCACTCCATAAAACAACCTAACTCCTTCACTAGACCACACAGAGCTTTCCTTAGGGACTAAAACCCACCGATCCATGCAAATGTTCAGTGCAGCACACCTAAATTAATGAGAATGGGTATTTCTCTCATTCTCCAAACCGCCACAGAACATAAGGAATTAAGAGGCACATATATTGGGGTTGAAGAAGAAACCGGTATTTTAGAATTACAAATTTATTATTTTAAAATCTATATTGACTAAGTTAGGTATGTGCAAACAATCAGGGAAAAAACAAGCATTTATGTAATCTGGTTCTTTTGTCCATGTGTTTTTAAGTGATCACATTGCCATAGCACAGCTTTTTAGTGAAAAAATCAGCCATCACCAACTTTTCACTTCCCTTGGAAGAAACGAATACAAAATTCAGGCTATAAGAAGGGGACTCCTGTTTCAAAGACATGGTTGGTGAGCAGTAGAGCAGAAATGCAGGCTTTGATTCATTGATGTATTCACATTTTTCCAACAAATACCTATTTGATAAGGCCATTTCCTCACTCAGTCAGACATCATACAGAAAATTTTCCCTATGAGTCACTCATTCATATTAGAATCAATCATTTTACCTGTAATAAACACGCAATGTTTGGACTTCTTCCTCTAGTTTTTTGCACTGTTGAAGAGCAGCTTCCTTTACTTGTTGCAAAGTTATCAGTTCTGCCTGTGAAATGATAAACAACCGATAACTAATTTATTCAGAACATCCATACTTTTTTGAAAACACATCAATCTGTGCAATAATTTCAACCACTATAACTGCACACATAGAGTTATACTGCTGTATGTAACATAGTGTTGTGGCTTAACCCCAGCCAGGAATTAAGTACCATGTAGCTGCTTGGTCACTTCTTTCCCCTTCCTCCTACTGATGGAATGGTGAGGAGAATCAGGAAAGAAAAGAAAATCAAACTTGTTGATTGAGATAAGAACAGTTAAATAACTGAAACAAAGTAGAAGATAATAATAATAATGATATTAATATGAGTAATTGTAATAAAAAGGAGAGGGACAGAGGGAGATAAATCCCAAGACAGGCAAGTGATGCACAATACAACTGCTCCCCACCTGCTGACTAATGCCAAGCCTGTCTCTGAGCTGTAACTCACACCCTTTCCTGGTAACTCCCCCCATTTTATATACTGGGTGTGATGTTTTATCACACAGAATGTCCCTTTGGCCACTTTGGTCAGTTGTCCTGACCATGCTCCCTCCCAGCTTCTTGTGTACCTCCTCACTAGCAGTGCAGGACACACTGAAAGTCCTTGACTTGGGGGAAGCACCACTTAGCAACATCTAAAACATCAGTTATCAACGTTATTTGCATACTGAATCCAAAACCCAGCACTGTACCAGCTACCAGGAAGCAAACGAGCACCACCCCAGCCTATTTAATTCCTATGAAATATTCCTTCTTTTTCTAGTATTGAAATTTTGCTATTTTTTTCCCCCTAAAACTAAGAAGTTTTGAATGGCTTCTCCCGTGTAAGTTTTTCGAATACCTAAGGTTAGAACTCTTTAGTTCAGACAAGTGTTTATCAGCAAACATATTTCATATGGTATATATGCAATATACATTGGTATGATATATATTGCTATACCCCACAACTGCTGGTCAACATACAGAAAGTGAAGCAAAGCCTTGGCCATGAACTACTGACACGACTCTGGTCTGCACATGGCTCCCTACCTGTTTAAGGGCAACCAGGACCCTGAGCAGTGGCAGGCAATGAGCCAGCAGGGACTGCAGAGGCTGGCACTGACAGCACATGCTGGGATCTGGGTGCATTCTTACCCAGGATCTGGTTTATGGAGGGAATCCTTGAGCAATCACCATCATCTCCCATCTGTGAACCCCATTGGACACTCCCCCTCCCACCCTTGATTCACACTGAAGGGAGTGTGACTCACGACCATAATGGAAATTGCAGCATGTGGCTTGCAATTCAGGAAGGGAGCCAGCCCCAACAGTTAAAGAGGAGGTAGGGAGAAATAAGTATTCACGCATATTTAGTATGTGTCTATACCTTAATCACTATTAATTTTAGAAGTCCAGTTTCAATAGCACTGCAGGACTGCCTTGAGGGCCCAGGTACCATATAAATAAATCAGTGGGTGATTTATTGTTGTAACAACAAATAAGAGCAGGCTTCCACAGCAATTCCTTGACACATGAGCCTGAGCATTGGGCTGTTTTCCAATGTTTTTAATTCATGGTGTAAGTTATTAATTGTACAAATTGTAGGGCCCTTAACCAAGAGGCACATGTGTGAGAAATGCCAACTGTGGATTCTGCCAACTCTTCAGGACAGTGTTGCGGAAAAGTTTCTTAGTAAATTAAAGACCTGTTATATGAGCTACAAACCCATGAAGGGAAATGCACATAGTTCAGCCTTGAAGTCTGCCAAACTCACTGTATAATCATGAACAACTCTGCCTGTATGCCTCAAAATCTCTCTCCTAAAACAGGGCTCCCGCTTGCTTCTGTTTCCTGTTTGTCTCTTAAGACTGTAAGTCTTCAAGGCAGGTGTTTTACTGTTTACTGTCAACTCCCAGTCATCTATGGGCAATTCATTCTGCTGGTTGATTAATCATGTCCTGGATAGTTGGCTGATTCCTGGCAAATTTTATTGAACACCGCATTGCACAAATGCAGCTACACAAGCAGTCTGTGAACCGTGCTGCTCGGTGGGTCGTGTTGCACCCAGGGTTTTGCACTGCCCAGGTACAGAACCCACTGCTGTAATTGCTCCTGTGAGAGAGATCCATAAAGTTTTAACAGGAAGTTCCCTGGAGAATAAAAACTTTCTTACTATATGGGGGGCGTTCCTTCAGCTTTAAAAGCAGAAAGCGTTAATGTTTAACATCTGAGTGACAGTGGTTTTGAGCTTCTGATACTGAAAACAATGTACTGCATGCTGGCAAGCCCTAACTTCTGTCAGAAAGAGGTTAAAATCCTCTGCAGGTGAGCCTCTTGCCTGGTGTAGCTCGCTGCCTTGCCAGCAGAACTCACAGAACGCAAGATGCTAGCCAAACCAAGCTATTTTCTGTAATTATACTGTTCTGTAGGTGAAACAACATTCTTAAAAATTGGAAAACACACTTGAATCAAAGTAGGTGGTTTGTTCTAGAGGCCAGTAATTAACATCCTTGCCAATTTTCAGTGTACTGTGAAGTGTGATTGAAATGGTAGACTGGAAGGAAATGTTTGCAGCTGACACACCTACTCAGAGAGATTAACGGCTAGTCTCTTTGGAGAACTATCATAAAAAATACACCTAATGTTCCACTTGCCATTCAGGACAAGAGTCAGAGGCACTAGAGTGTTAAGACTATTATTTATGTCAGTTTTTCAGCAGAAAAAACTGCACTGATTTGACTGGGTTTGCATCTGGGTTTGTACTAATAAAAATATCAGCAGAATCAGGCTCTTTGGATAAAAACAAAACAAAACAAAACAAACAAAAACAAACCAACAAACCCAAGAGCTACAAAAAGTGAAGAGAAGAAAAATAGACTCCTCAGTAACTTCCAAGTAACTTCCAGTGGAGTTGATACTAGGGAGCTTCACGAGACCAACAAAAATCCAAGCACAAGAGTCTCTGTGCACAGCATGCAGCCATGTGACAAAATGACCCATTGTTCACAGGCCTGAAGGGTGGTAAACACAAATAAACGAGTCAAATATCCTCCCAAGGCAGAGATGTCTTCCTTCACTAGAAGAAGGAAAGCAAAACAGTGCTCATCACAAAGTTAAATTGCTAACTAAAATAATGGCATCTGCTCTACAGTAAAGAATTTGGAAGACTCCTAAATGTATATTGAAATGCATCCATACTGCATATGGCAAAAATCCTGCATGAGCTCACCTCTAGTAATAACAATAGCTGCTTGAGAACTTTTTAACAAAATATTGTTCCTCTGGAAAATGTCAAGCTGTGGAAATCAGAACTTTTCACTGAAATTTATTTGTTTTGATTAAATTGTTTTGGAAGGTAGGGTAAAGAAGAGGCAAGAAGAAGAATTACATGCAGGTTCCTCTGGTGGTGGTTTCCCATAAAAAGGTCACTTTAGAGGTGAGCTTGGTCACCTTTTGGTATAGGTTCACTCTCAGCAAAGCTCCTTTTTAACCCTGAAAGGGTATTCTGATCTCTTGGATACTGTGAAAAATATTTCTGAATATTTTGTTTTGTCCAGAAGTTCCTACACTTTCATATTTGGTTTAATGTGGATAGATTCTTTCCCATTCTCTGTGCCCCTATCCACCTTCCTGCAAAGGAGAATTGTTGTTTCTTTATTTTCCCATTTTGCATTTTAGCAGTTATTTGGTGAAAATTTAAATTTTCCAATTAAATATAAAATCTAATCAAACTACCTATCAAACTTAAAATAGTTGGTCTCACCTAAAGAAAATCTTGGTACTGATCTTTTTGCTGTTGCTTTTGCTTCAAAACATTTAAAAGAACAATGTCATGTTTTCTTACCACAAAGTCTGGAAAAAATACAAGACCTGAGCAAAAGAAAACAGAGGACAAAACTAGTTTTTATCTTTTCCTAATTCCTCTAGGGAAACATGAGCACCCTCAACTCTAATCTAAATTGAAAGAGGTAAGAACACACAGCCTCCTATGCTGTCAGGTTCTCTCTGGAACCTCACCTTTGTGTGAGAGATGGCTTTTGTAAGACTTTTCAATATCCAATAGAAAGGAAAAAATCCAATTAAGTTGACTAATAAAGTTTCATAGCTTTTTAAATTGATTTATTTTCTTATGCATTTATGCACAACATTATATATATATATATATATAAACATTTATTTTTCCTTTCTCTGAGATAGGCTAAATAAACCTTTTCTGTTGCCTCTCACTAAGCAGGCTCTTCATTACCCTGATCAATTTAAATGCATCTCTCCTCAGTACTCTGTACTCATGCCAGTGGAAACCTCTTACCTGACACATTCTTGTACGCTTTTTGCTCCCAGTCACCCTCCAGCCTGTTCTGCACACTACACTGGTATTACCCAGTTGACAGTGGAAACTCTTATTCATCCTGAAAAGATAATACCTTACACTTGGCACCGAAATTCCACCCTGCTGCTTTTGTTTTTCCAGTACTCGAGGCCATCCCAATCTTTCTGCAAGACAGCTTGAACCTACTTTGTATTAATAATATCTCCATGCCCTATTAAAAACAACTCCCAGCTCTGTATCATCAAGCAATTTTGTTGGCACATTGCTGCTCTTCATGCCAAAGGTTCTCAATGACAGCATTAAAGAAAACTGGTTCAGCACCAACTGGTAAGAAATTGGAGAGAAATTCCACTAGCGAAATCCTTGGACCTTAACATTTCTTCCCTCAAATCTGTTTGCTGCTGCCTTCCTGCTAACTAGTTCCTTATTGCCTTTGACTAATCCCTCATCTCCTTCATGGGTACATGACATTTTGCAGACAGACATGAGCTAAACATGCCCATTCTTCCAAACAAGAGACGCTGGGTGAACCCAGCGAGCAGCAAGCAGCATTTCCCACATTAAGCTTGTGCCTGCTTGTAAAATAACAATATATGCATTCCCCACTGTAATTAATAATTTTCCATATGGCACAACCTATAAGCTTATGTGTCAGGTTATATTAAAAAAGTTTCCTTGTCTAAATAACCAGTTA